GAAGACCATTCGATACGGTACGCTGCTGCGAGCCCAGTTCGCTCCCCAGGAATACAACGGCGTATCCCATAAAAACAAAACAAAACAAAACAAAACAACCCAACCCCCAAAGGTTATCTTTCTTGCAACTCAAAGGACTGTCGGGATTTTTTTAAAACGAGCTTTTAAATTAAAGCAGGAGCTGGCAGGCACGGCTGTAGTATTTTTAAATCGGTGGTCAAAGCGTTGCCTCATAACAAATCACGCCTTATTTGCAGGTTTTCTTCTGAAGCTGAAGATTTTGGCGCGGCGCGAGGAAAGCGAGGCCGTAAAGGGAAACGGGCTGGAAAGCGCCTTTTTTTTTTTTTTCCCCCCAGCATTTCCCCCTGGCCAGGCGTGAGAAATGCGAAAAGCAGAGCGGGGAGAGATGAGCCGGATTCCTCGCGTGCCTTCGCTCTGCCGTCGCTGCCTTCGAGGTGCTGGGAAGGAGCCGGCGGCGGAGAGGGAAAAGCTGCAGGAGGGGAAACAAAGCCGCCGCCGGGGCTCCACTGGCTGGAGAAGGGTTGGGTGCTTTGTGCCGATGGTGTTGGTTTTATTATTTTTTTTTTTTCAAATGTGATGGAGAAAGCTGGAAGAAAAATGGGTTTTTCCTTTGGTCAACCTGGGTTAATCGCAGCTCTATCCCAGCGGGCTTGCTGCAGCGTCGTCCTTCCCCGCAGAGCATTCGGACCCATTTTCTGCACTTTCCCGTCTTCGACACAACCTAAAAAACTAACATTTCTTACAGGAAAAGCGCTCTGATCCTGCTGGCTAAGGGAGGAGAGGGGGAAAACCAACAGGGATTACTGTGGGAGCAGCCCAAGCCCTGCATTTCTCCAGCTTCATTATGCAGCACAGGCGGGCTATGTATAAATATATATATAAAAAAAAAATATTATCCTCCCCCCCCCCTTTTTCCCTGCAAAACAAACACCCAGCCCCACCATTTATTTTTAAAGCACACTGTGTTTTGGATAACATGAGGTGAAATCCATGCAGCCGGTTACGCAAGCGTGTTACCAGGCTGCAAGCGATACACTGGGTTATTAAAAAAAAAAAAAAAAAGGGAAAAAGAAAAAAAAGAAAAACCAACTCCAACAACCCAACCCACCCTATTTCTGAAAATAGATGCACAGCACATGCCTGCAAGTGGGGCTTTGACATTTTATATCCCAGTTTTCCTTCATCGTATCAGCAGCAATGGCAGCATCCCGCAGCCCTATTTCCTGAAAATTAACCATTTTCACCCAGACCTAGCTTCAAGCAGTTTACGTTACATCTTTATTTTGCTGGAGGGTCCATCGGAGCCCGTAGGTGAGGGGGTTTATTTAAAAAAAAGGAAAAAAGGGTATTTCTCGCAGAGGTTATCCTGTTTGTCAAGGCGGCTTATTGACCTCGGTGATTTATCACTGGGGAAAAAAGCTGGAGGGAGGAGGAGGAGGGGGGAATAGTTCCTGCTTCAAGCAGTTTACGTTACATCTTTATTTTGCTGGAGGGTCCATCGGAGCCCGTAGGTGAGGGGGTTTATTTAAAAAAAAGGAAAAAAGGGTATTTCTCGCAGAGGTTATCCTGTTTGTCAAGGCGGCTTATTGACCTCGGTGATTTATCACTGGGGAAAAAAGCTGGAGGGAGGAGGAGGAGGGGGGAATAGTTCCTAAAAATAAATAGATGCCTTAATTCTCTTGCGGCTAAACTTTCCTTCACAGCCCAAGCCAGGGGAATGTATTTTAATCTCCTTTATCGGATTGCCCCGTCCGCGGCT